CAATTTTAATTTTTAAAAAAACTAAAATAAACTGGGATTAAAATATTGATTAATATGCTCTATAAAAAAATATTTTGCTCTATTCCAAAAATAGATTTTGAATATTTTTAACCTTTTTCTATAGCAGAATTAAGTTATGTTTATCTTAAATTTATTTATATTAATTATATTGTTGTTGTTGTTGTTCCTTATCCTCCAATTGTCTGACAAAGTCAGACAAGATCCAATAGGTTGTTGTCCCTCAAAAAGTCGATGACAAGAAGTGGAGTAGCGTATAAATCTAGAACTAGATTAATAATATTTATGTAAGTTACCGAGAAAAGATATAGGATATCAAATTATTCATGGGCTCAGGGTTTTATAAGTGCAAAGGTAACACAAAAGTTCTGGAAATGATACTCTTTAACATGGTTTTTCGAAGCTCATTCGCAAAGGAAAATAAAAGAGCCAAGTTTAAGTGAAGTACACTTGAAGCAAAGCTATAACTTTATACAATATTTGCCATCTTGCTTTAAGGAATTATCTGGACTTGAGGACGAATAACTAAAATATTTCAAAAGTTTTTAAACTTTTTCTAAAAATCGTCAATTTGGCGACATTTTTCCACCTAGATGAAATTTATCAAAATCCATGTCAAATTCCCATTATTTGCAAATTTTTAAGATCCCGGAAAAGATAGCATTAGAGTAAGTTTTTAAATATTAAAAAATTACAAACTACAAACGCTTTTTATTTTCTCAAGACCGTGGTTTTCTCACATTAGCGTTTTGCGCCAATTGTAGAATAAACAAGTAGGTTAAACTTGACCTAACATTCATGAGTAACTGTTGCAAATTTACATAGGTTATGAAAATAGCACAAATTTCGCAAAAAGGCATCATTTCATTCAACTACAGAGCCTTTGGAAAACAGTCTTAAAACTAAAAACTTTTACTAGGTTTAAAAAACGAACTGTATGGGTTTCATGTTATCGATAAAAAAAAACACTCATACCAATGTAAATTTTATGTTCGGGCATAAAATAATTCATAATAAAGTGAAGAGTAAGTGTAAACACTAGGGAGGAAGTATATAGAGTAATCCGTAAAGACTGTACTTAATATGAATTTTTAGCATCCGCATCAAATCAAAATAAAAGAGTATATGCATTGGCGGTCACAAATTAATAAATATTATGCAAGGGAAAAAACAAACATCCTTTCGAAATCTGATAAATCACAGTTCAGGAAGGCAAGAGTAATAAACAGCAAGGAGTGATGGCTCAGGGGATAGAGTGTTCGTCTTCTCCATAAGCGAACCGAGTTCAAATCCCAGTAATGGCTTGTCGATACGAATCCGCATCCGACTTGCACTGACCACAGTGCTGACGTGAAATATCGTCTGTGGTAGACGGATCATGGGTTAGAGTCCCCTTGCCGTCAGGCTTTCCGTGAGAGGTTCTCTTGGTCTTCCTCTCCATGTAACGCAAATGCGGTTTAGTTCCATCAAAAAGTCCTCCACGAAGGCAAATTTCTCTCAATACTTGATCCAAAAGTTCCCTTGTCTTCTGGATTGGGTTAAAAATTACAAGGCTACGGAGTTGAACATAAGTAGTGGTAAATTCAAAATTGGGTCGGTTAAATAAAATATAAAATCTACAGCACGACAGGCTTGAGTACAGAGAGGAGTTAAATGACTATTTTTTCAACCCCTTCAAGTTTCAATCTACAATAAAAACTTTTTTGATGTTTGTTACATCTGCTTCTTTCTCTATAATTGGTCAGAATTCGATAGTTTTTTTTTCCTGGGTTAAACATTAATTTGCGACCTTCAATGTATATAATTCGTTGTTTACATTTTTAATATGGACTTTAAAAATACATATTGATAGCGATCTTTAGAGAAAAGTCTGTACGATGGTTTATCTATATCTTCATTTCCCTCAAACACAATATACTAACTTGCTAATGTATTTCAAAAATAGAATAGAATTTTTAGTATCCAGCAAAAAAAAAATTTATTTCCAGCAATAAAAATAAAAGAAAAATTATTTAAAAATTTATACAAATAAAAACAAATTATCTAACAAATTTCTAAATTCTTGAAATTGGAAAAAAAATATATGAAACCAAAATTTTGAAAATCTACGTCTTGAGTGTTATAAAACAAGATAAGTATTTAACAACTCTATTTTTTTTTCTTTCAAAAATTACACAGGCATATAATAAATTTTATCCTATTGGAAATAATTTAAGAATCTCACGTAAATGATTTTAAAAAAATTTTGTTTTATTTTATCAAAGTAGTTAAAGGTAGTTTTATGAGACGCCAAAAATTTAACAAAAAAAAAATTTGTTCATTCAAATCTTTTTTGCTACAGGTCCCTTTAAATAGCAGACATGCCACACCAGTTGCGGAAAAAAAAAGCTTAACTTGGCATGAAAATTAAACTTCAGAAACAGGTTTCAAAATTATGAATTGAATTATAAAAATTACGATTTAATGGAAATCTGTTAATTAAAAATAATTTTTTAATTAACATTCTGAGTTAATTCACTTCAAATAAGGTCCTTATATTAGTTGTTTGAAAATGGCATTACTTATTAAAATCTCAATTAGAATAATGTCTAAGTGCCAATCTGAAAATTTAATATTTCAGAAATTTAAATTTGGTTTAATATTTCTAATTAAAGTGTTTCAATTTTTTAGTACAACTAAATATTTTTAAGAAAATAAAAAAACAATAAATCATCCCTTAGTATACTAATTTTAAAACTTCTACTTATATTGAACTTTTAATTGAATTAAAATCATTTTAAATAAACTGAATAAAGAAAACAATTTAAATTTTTGAAACAATTTATCTTTAACATGCAAGATTTGATTGGACAAGAGAAGTTTTTTTTTTCTTAATTTTTTTATATTATTATTGGAAGGTTATAAACATTCAGAAACACCATAGCAGGTAGAACAAATAAAATACTTACTCTACTTTCGAAAATTTTGTGGCTGGTCCAGCAATTAAACAACTTTTTGCAATTTTAGAGTTAAGTTCATTAAAATCAGACAAAACAAGGGTTTACATGAAAAAGTATCACGTCTAAAATATAGTTGTTACATAAAAAAATAATTAAAAAAAGTTAATTTTCAAATATTTTAAATATAGTTTGGGCGCGGGTTGATTCAAAGTGATTAGAAACTGTGAAGAAAATTTTTGCAGCTTTTTTTTTTCCTCCTGTCAGTATGAAAATTTATTATGTAAACTTTAAAAAATATACATATATACTAAAACGTTGTGAATAGGACCCATTTCTTCATGTAAACACAAGATTAACGATTTTGCAGTCCTGTAGCAAAAAATGGCTAGAACATACACAAAAAAGAAGCATCCTTTGTCCTACGCTTTAAAGAACCTGCAGAAGCTGTAGTGATACTAAAAAATAGAGGAGACTGATTCAGCGAGAAGCTAAAAGAAAATTTGGTATCAAAACTAGTAGTGGTAAAGATGACGATTGTAGAAAAGTCAGAAGATAATTGTAAGCTAAGCCGAGAATTAAGAAGCTAAGCATCCAATAAATCGAGCAATTAAAGAACTGGAACATTTAAAGCGTCTTTTGGCTAGAGCTATATTTGGTTCTCCTTGTGATAATTAAAAACTCTTCCATAAGATGCTGGATGCAGATGTAAACAAAATTTAACCACCAGGTTTCATATGTAGATCAGCACTCCAAAGACTTATCATATTTTTTATACATTGTGAAACAATTGTAATATTTTACATGTAACAATTGTAACACATGATATTTTCTTTAGTCTTTAAGGATCTCAAAGCTGTGCAGTACAGGCTTTGTGAAGAGACTCTTTGCTCATCTTTGGAAAAAAGCAGGGCACCACTACTAATTGTTCCTATCTAATATAATTGAATTTTTGATAGTTTTTTATTATGTATAGTTAAGCCTATTGAATATACATATTAAAACACTTAAGTGATAGTTCAAACAAGGAAAATTTCGCATGACCCGTTGTATAAATCAAAAATTTAAAAACCCCAAAAAATTTTACAAAATTCAAGCGGTTGACTTATGAAACCAGTAATGAAGTTATATATTCCTTGAACATGAAATATCGATGCATCACAAACAATGAGATCCATGGGAATCTATTTAGCACTTTCAAAAACGAGTTTTAACATGTTACATACAATTTTGCACTTTCTCTTTACCATATTTTAGTAAAACAGTATTTTTTGGTTAAAAAAATAAATAAAAAGTCAATTTATTTCAGAGTATTTCAAAATGGGTTTTTTTTTTTTGTTACAGTACTTTAAATTGTGTTGAGAAAAAAAAAATAAGGAAAGTTAATTTATATAAGAGTATTTCAAAATATATAACATTACAAGAATTTTTAAAATAGATCACAATGTTAGAAATTTAAAGATTCCACAAATACTTTTTCCCCCCAGCATCCTATCTAAAACGCCTTTATTTTTCTTCTTATCTCTCACAAGCTTTTTACTGATGTCTAATATCCCTGCGGTAACAAGGCTATCATTTTCACTAGGAAACACAATAACTTTCAACTTAAAACAATTTTCTTAAATTATAACAATTTTGTAGATTTAGTAATTTTTATTATGTTTTTAATTTAAAAATTAATCAGGTTTGAATTTTTTTCAGCTTATACACTAGACAAAAATTTGTTATGCTTGCAATCAACAGTGACTTATACAACAGGTAGACTTATACACAAGATTTATAGTAGTTGCAAAATGTTAGTCTCCTGTAAATTGAAAGTTAGAAAAGATGCATGCTATTGTTTCTCTTATGGAGACTTCTGTATTAATAAAACTTAAGTAGCACAATTTCATTAATTTTACCAATAACTTGAGACAATTAACATCTCGCAAAAAGAAAACTTTTTTTTTATTACACAGATGGTTAATTGCAATCAAATTAGTGAAATTAAATAAAGTGTAAGCTAAATATTATAAAAATAAATCATTTAAAATAAAAACCAGCACAATATTTTAAAATTTTTATTATACGATAATTGTAAAATCCAACTATAAAAAGTAACCAGACTTTTTACAGACATTCTTTTCAAAATAAATAATGATAACACAATTTGCTTCACAAAATAGAATTTATACAGTCATCATTCTGGAAAGTAATTTTTCTGGATTTAAAAGTCCTCCCACATGAACTAATATTTATGCTTACAGAAACAAAAGGGAAAAAAAGAGACTACTTATAGACCTGAAACTCTTGTACGATTGAGACAGTATGATTCGATTGATTAATTAAATATTACTATTTGCTTTATTTACATGAAAATTCTAAAGTGACTTTTTTCAAAATGTTTGAAAGTTGTGCTTCAGATTAAGCAGAACAAAAGAGACTAAAAAGAGTCACAGAGACTAAAATAATCAAGATTCTACTAAACTTTATATACATTATTAAAAAAAAAAATATCTTGGCATGTAGAAACTTTCAATTTATATTTTTCCTGCTTCAGTAAAATACTGTTTCTTAAATGGACGGAATTCTAAGCTGATTAGTTAGAATAGTGGTATAAAAATGGACTTTGAAATACAGTATATTAGATAATTAAATATGATAGCACTAGACCTAAATCATCTAATTCTAAATTTGTTCCCATTTCAAGACCTTCCTAAAACTAAAGAATGATGATGAATTAAAAAAAATTGGCAGTGAAAACAGACCCAAGCACTATATGCCCATTTTTAAAATCCAACTTACAAAAAAAAACATGCTATGCATTTGCAAACTGGATAAAATATGTATCACAAAAATGAGATGCTTCTCACTAAAAATATAGCAAATACTATAAACCACACTAATGCTCAGTATTAAAACAACTAACATATGTTACAACACTACAATGTAAAACCTATGAAAAACAAATGAAGTGAATGGAGAAATTTTCCAATAAGATTAATGCAAAATTTAATGAGAATGTAATTATGCATTTAAAAAAATATTGGTCATAAATATATACAAAAAATATTGGTCCCCAATAATAAACTAGTTCACAATTTATTAATATAAGGAATTATTCTAGAATAAAACATATATTTTTATGGAAGGGTAAATGACAATATATATATTGCTTTCATGGATTTGAAACATTTTACAAATAAGATTAATAACGGATATTTAATTTCAAACAGAAATTTTCGGAAAATAAATTATTTTTGAGAATTAATTTAAATAAAAAAATAAATAGGCAAAATTTGTAGGATAAGCTGAAACAAAATATAAATCATTTAATTAAATTTAGTTAACATTGTAATGGCTGAATGTTGATGCCGAAAGAGAATTAGTTAATAATTAAAATGCACATAAGCAGATCATAACCTGCTTGAAAGAACAAAACAAAAATAAATTTTAAGTACAGAAATATACAAAAGTATACATACTGTAAATTTGTTTGTAAAAATGCTGATAAAATAGTTACTAAATTGAATGGTAGAGTATCTTAATTTGAAATAATAAAATTGAGAATGTCTGATCTCTGCATATTGATGATTGTTGTGCATATTGAATGACACATATGATATCTACTAGAATAAGTATAATTTATAAAGAACAAATAAATAAAAAATTCCGGTATAGTATTAGTTATATCAGATAAAATGTTTTACTTTGGTGACATTATTAATAAAGTTGATAATTTAACATTTTACCTCACATCCTCCAATCGATAACAATATTTAAAATCTCTGTATCACAATAACTTCTTAATTTAATAATTATATTTTACCATTCAAAGTAATTGTATAGTTATTTTACAAGACATAAATACATGCTAATTTTAGTTAGTTTCTTGAGTCATAATATCTATGATATACATAATATACATTACCCAGAATCTCCATGGGGCAGAAAGCAACATTTCTGAAATAATAGCTACATTTTATTCAAAATGGACTCCAGAATTTTTATGAAACAGATGTGGGCGGATTTCAATGTAGGACGGAATGATTTAATTTTCTGAACCATAACATTAATATTTAAGTAGGACAATCAGAAAATAAATTAGAGGTAATCAAAAAGCTGCAACTATATTACAATGAAAGGCACAAAGACTGGATTCAACTAGTTTGTTTCTTCAACTCATTTACACTTATGTTATGAAAGTGTTTTTTTGCTTACAATTTGAGCATTTTATTTATTCTTTTGATTTACTCTTTTCAACAGCAAATATTTAAGACAATTTTTGCTCACCAATTTAAAAAATAATATTCCATTTAATATAAGTAAAATTTAAGCAACATAATTCAAAGTTCAAACTGCAAGCTTGCTAGTTTTCCTAGCATGCTAGAATCTTATTGATTTACTTAAAATGGAAGAGAATTAAAAAATTAAAACAGAAAACTGCTAAATGTCAAAGAAATTTTAAATTAATATTTTTAATATGGATTTAAAAAAATTTTATGGATTAAAAATATGAATATTTTCTACACAATTGTACTTCAATAGAGACTTTAATATTGAATTATCAGGATATTAGCTAAATATAATATTACTCATTTTACTTAGATATTGCACATGTTCATGTTTGAACAGGAAAATAAAAAATACAGTGCCACGAACAATAAATAATAATTTATGGCATGTGACTACCTTCAGAGGACCTCAAAAATTTAATGAACATTTTTTAGATCAAAATTTTAAAATTTCATGGAGGCAGTTTTAAGATATTTTAAAAATCTAGTTTGGAAAGGAAAAAAAAAATTATTTTATTTTGAAAAAGAAAACAAAAGAATGAGTTTGATTCTTCACAGGAAATTCAAATTAAAAATGTAAAATTGCAAAACTATAGAAAAAAATATAATTTAAAGGCTACACTTAAAACTGTATTTAAGCCTGAACTTTGATTTGAATTTTCAAAAACATACAATTGTGCAAATTATTTATAAGAGAGAGAAAATTGAATAGATTCTGTTGTTATTGTGGCATCCAGTACAGAAAAAACTGCGCAAATTATTTATAGTAGAGAGAAAATTGAATTTATTCTGCTGTTATTGTGGCTTCCAGTATAATAAAAACCGCTTATGCGCTATTTCCCTTTAATAAGAAAAATTTTAAAACACTCTCCCATTTGAACTCAATTGGCACAGAAGTTGCGAAATATTTCCCATTCCTATTAGCATCGTAACCTGGCAGTTAAAAATGAATTGAAAAATAATATAGAAAAACGAAGAAGTGATAATTTACACAATCACTAAGTCACACAATCGATTTCAAAGTAAATAAATGAAACATCTAAATGGCACACACTGTAATACTAGGAAACAAAAGTATTGATAACTTATATGATACAAAAACAAATATTTACAAATAAATTTTTTTTAAAAAAATCAGATTCAATAACTACAGTCTTGAGACATTAGTCAATACTTCCAGATTAAGGAATTGGCTCTGGCTTATAACGTTGAAAGATGAACACTAGTAACAATTTATACAAAACTGGAAAATCCTGGCAATGGAGCTCTGGAGCCTGCCATATTGTTCATAACAATGTGTCCACCATTCAAACTCACTTGAATGCTTCCTTCAGGTTCACTGTCAGTATAGCTAGGGGGCTTGACTGGTCTCTGTCGCTTCCAAGATTGGCGGAGAGTGTCGTTAACGTTGGCATAGTGATTGACAAATGAATGAGGATCAGCTTTGCCATTACTTTCAGCATCACTGTCAGAACCCTGATAAAGATAAACAAAGTTATAGCGAAATTTTTGATTTAAATTTGCAGCAATAACAAAATATATAAAGAAAATAAATACACATAGTCTATCCCTGATATTAACAAAAAAATCTGATTTTTCAACCAATCGGCTCCTCTAAACATGAACAAGCTTCCTTTTTTGTAAATAAATTTATTATTGTTTCTTAATTACATAAAATATTTTTTCAAAAAGAAAAAAAAAAGTTGAAAATTATTTAGAAATACTGTTTTAATTTTTTTGAAAACTTTTCTTCATTAATATCATTGATCACACCTACCACCACATCATTGATATACCTACCACCACAATGAGAAAGAAATACACGTTTCAAAGACAGGAGATAAAATTATAAATTCATAATAAAGCGAACATAAGTGTTGAACAGAGATCTATGATAAAGTGATTCCCAGTACTTATATTCAAAAAAGAAAAAAATACAAATTTCCAACCCAGTGGCTATGCTAAACATAAAAATGCTTTTTTTCTTTGAATAAATTTCTTGTTGATCCTTAGTTAGATGAAATATTTTTGCAAACAAAAAAAGAAAAGAAAGAAAAAAGTAAAAATTTTTAAAAAAAACTTGTGTTTAATAATTATGAATCATTTCTGACCACCCGAACAAGAAAAAAAAATGCATATTTGAAATTCATTAGATTATAATGTAAATTCCTAAATAAGCAAATAGATGTGAAGAGAGGTCAAAAAATATACAATTATTTTTAAATTTAAAACAAGATTATTAAGAGAAAAAAAAATGCATATTTGAAATTCATTAGATTATAATGTAAATTCCTAAATAAGCAAATAGATGTGAAGAGAGGTCAAAAAATATACAATTATTTTTAAATTTAAAACAAGATTTTTTATTTTGACCAAAATACATAATATGTTTCCATTTTAACTATTACAAATTATGGATAAAGTTTTTTTTTTTTCCCGAGATTGTGAGATGGAGTGTAACTGTTTAGTTTTCCTTTTCAAAAATAAATCTCTGTTAAATAGCCAAAATGCTAATCGGAAGAAAAAAAGGAAAACCATAATAACACACCTTTAATGAATATTTATTCAATTTTATAAACTAAGGCAAAGCAACAAGACCCCATTTAAAGTACATTAATGATGCCTTAAAAAGCTTTTAATAATCATGTTCAGCTAAAAAAGCTTTTAATAATCAGAAAACTTCATCAAAATATACTTATTTAAAAACAAAGTCAAAGACATTCATGGTGTAATTCTAGAATTATTAATTCCAAAGTCAAAATATTAAAATGCAATTAATATGCTTACTATTAATTTCTTTATCAAAAGCATTAGGTGATTAGCAATAAACTAATGATATATAAACAAACCTGTGAATCAGATGAACTCATTTCAGAAGGCTTTTCAGTTAAACTACTACTATCACAGTTCTCATCGTAACCTTTAGTATCATCATCATCAGAATAAGTAACACTGCCTGGGCTGGGACGAGGAGGGCATCTAAATTTTCAAAAAAAGTAGATTTTAATCAAATTTTTATTATTTTTTAAAAAAAAATGAAATTGAAATAAAAATATTACTAATGCGATACATTGAAGATAATAGATATGTTTAAGAGGTAGAATAAATATGTTTTTAAGAGGTAGGTGGAGGTGGTAAGAGAGAAAGAGGCATGTTTTTTGTTCTCATGTTTAAAATCCATCTGATTAGCCACAAACTCTGAATTTAATCAGAGATATTTAACATTGTTTCCTGCAACGCAAACTATTTTTTTCTCATAATTTTTTCTTTGTAGAGGGGGTAAAATTACACATTTTTATACAATTTCGCCCAAAAATTTTCAGATAATGTGCTTAACAAATTTCATATGACACACAAATGTATCATAAATATGTGTTAAAGAGAACATACCAATTTAAACTAATTCACTAATAACCATAATCAATTTATTAATAACAATATTAATGAGACAGATAAAAACCATAAATAGAGAAAAACTAAGACCTAATTTGATTTAAATCAGAAATGGAAAAAAGGAAATAAGTTACAATTTTATTTTAAAACTATTGTTAAGTTCAGCCTGAAAGAAACTGACTGCCACAGCATTCTTATTTTTATTTATTTTTTGTTTTCTTAGTAAGCTTAAGAGTTATAGAGATGATTGGTAGTTAGACTTCACATCAAAGCACCCCTTCCATTATAATAACTGATACAATTTAAATCTCCTTTGTTATTTTAATTTACACTTAAGTATTTAAACCCCCATAGGAATGTCATTCCTAAATATTTGAACCCCTCATTTCTATGTAAAAATCACAAATTAAATTTTCAAAAATAATCAATAAATAATATTAGTAATTTTCTATTGCTAGTATAAAGCTTTTCTATTATTGCTTCCATTGAAAATGAGTCCTTTAACAGCAAAAAGTTCAAAGTTATGGTTTTTTTATTTCTTTAGACCACTGCACATGAAACACATAACATATAACATTTGAATGAAGGTGAAACATGATATCCAGAATCTTGTCCAAAGGAAGGTGATTTGCCATCAACAACAACAAAATGGTAAAATATGAATATTTCTTAAAATTGTTGATAATTGAAAAAACATATTGTATTGTCAAGTAAAAATTAATATTATGTTCTGTGTGCATCTCTTTGATTTTATATTAAAAATACTCATAAATTTCTTTCCAAGCTGTACAGTAAAATTTATTTTCAAGCTCCATGTGGCATTCTAATTCTCCTTGACTTAGTAGTTTTCTTGGCATAAGCAATTCAGCAGATGTCTATTATAATATTTATATAAAATATTCTTAAAAAATTTCAGCAACTAAAATTAAGTGTGAAATATTTAGAAAATGTCAGTAAGTAATTCCTCAAGAGAATAGGAGGATAATTAAAATGATAGCAGTTTGAGGCAAATTAATTTATAATAACTCAGATATTTTTCCTATGTACGAATACTGCTATAGTTATGACAGCAGATGATGTTTAATCTTTTACTCAAGAAAAAAAAAATTTGAGCTACAGTGCAAAATTTAAGCAAATGTAAATACATAATTAAAGAAAATGTACATTTTTTAAAAGGTACAAAAAAGTTAAAATGTTAAATTTGCATACAATCTGATTGGATTTTTATTTTAAATGAACATCATTATTTACAGGTATGAGATAAAAAAAAGAAATAAAAAAATTAAAGAAAATGGTGAAAAAGAAATTCAATTTTGGGTGCTTCAAATTCTACTACACATATTTCTGTTTACATGCTGCTTATGGGGTAAAAAATGTCAAGTTTAAATACAATATAAAAACATATTGCAGTAAGTTTTTTAAGCTATTAACAAGATAGATTTAATGTTATTAGATGATCAAATCATAAAATGAAGTGTTTCAAAAATGTTCACATCATTTTGAAATAAAAATAGAATGTTAGTAACATGAAATTTTATTATATAATATTAAAAAATAATAAGGAAACTGTTATACTGAATTGAACACAGAAAGATTGGTGTAATTAATCCAACACTGTGAAAAACACTATTCAAAGATTTTTCGGGCTAATTTCATAAATTTCCGACTTTAACAGAAGGCAAACAATTTATTATTAATTTTTCAGTTATGCCTTACAGATTATGCCTTAATTTTGACTTGAACCAGAGAATGATCAATCTCCAATTCAGTACATCTAGAGGTATGATTTGTTATGCGAACATGGAGGACTTTGTGCTTTGACAGATTTAACATGCACCTATATTACTACACAGGGAGTCTTCGATCGACAGGGATCAAAGTCATGACCTCCTAGGCATGGGCCCACGCCCTACAAACCAAGCTATCCCGGCGTGATTTGACAAGTAATGCTCAAAAAGGCAAGTGGCAAGAAAGAGGACATTAAAATACATTGGCCCAGGATTTTTGCACATTTCAGTTAAATATCTTAACAGTTTCCTGATTTTTCAGACAGATAAAACTGACTTTTCAAAAAATTGGATATAAAATTTAACAAAAAAATATATATTAAAAAAACTGTGGACATGAGGAAAAATTGCGTACCTGTTTTATTTAGAAACAATTTACAACTTTTTAAACTACATTGTTAAAAAGTATTTCTAAATTAAACGTAAGAAAAAGAGAAGAATGTAATTCAACTTACTTAGTAAGCATAGCATTATGATTTTTTCTTGATAGAGAATTTTTACAAAGTGTGCCTCTTTTAGACTGTCTCAATTCAAATGTAGGGAATCCACCATCGTCCATACTCATATGATCATCATGAATAGATTTTTGTGCTTCTTCTAAACAGTAAAAAAAAAATAATAAGATTAGGCCATAAAAAGCAATATATAAAATATCATTTTAAAGAAATAATACTTTATAGCAATGCTTAGTAGTAATACTTACTCTTATACTTATAAACTTTACTTTTCACGCATAATACTGCTACAACAAGGACAATAACAATAACACTCAATGATGCAATCATAACTAAGAACCAAACTTCTCGATAAAATGGAAGTTGTTTTTGACGATATTCATGATATAATTTACCTATAAGAAATGTAAAACTTAATTAAAATACAAAAGATTAGTGAATTTTTTTTTTCATTTTTACATTACACAGTAAGTAATTTTTTTCATCCAAAAATAAAATTTAAAAAAATTCTGTCATTTTTTAACAAAAATTTACAATTTGCATTCAATGTATATGGTACCATTCAAAGGTACCATAATACCTTTAATTCCTCAAAAGAATCCTTGATTCACATTTGTGAAACAGTTTTGTGAATTTTCTACAGTAACTTCTATAATTACAATGTCATTCTCTTTTCAACAAGATAAAAAGTTACTTTTTGCAGTCATTTTTAGAAAATGTACAACTGAAATGAATAGTGTATGAACCTGTAGCAGAATTTATGAACTGAATCTGCAACTTAATTCAAATTTGCCTGAGACCTTAATGCAATCAAAGAAAGGATATTATTATAAAAACTCAGCTTAATCAAACATACATGTTGCAAAAATAAGATCCTTATAACATAAAAACTTTATGTTGTTTAATTTTAAGTTAAATTTTACTAATAAATTATACAAAAATCGCTTTGCAATTGAGCTTGTTATCAAGTAATAGGGGAAAAAAAATATTCCTATTACTTTTTGCTCATTACAATATTAGTTTTTTTGGTTATTACAATATTACAATTCTTTTGCTTATTGCAATTTTTTGCGTATTTTGCAGAAAGCTAAAAGAATAATAAAGTATAATATTATTCTCTTCGCTTTTTGTGAAAGTAAAAGGAATAATATTGTACTTTTTGCTTATTATAATATAATTCTGTTTGTTTTTGTGGTATTCTATGGATTAAGTTTGTATTTTTTTTTTTTTTTTTTNTTTTTTTTTTTTTTTTTTTTTTTTTTTTTTTTTTTTTTTTTATTAGAAACAAGTTAGAGATATTTTTAAAAAGAAGTCTCTGCAATTTCCATCCTTTTCTTTATTTACTTTTTAAAAATAAAAATAAAACTAAGATGAAAAATAATCAGCAGATGTTGTAATAATCTGCAGCCCCTGTTGCAGTGCTGGGGTTTCTACTGCCAGAGCATATTGTACCATTTTGAAAATCTGCACTAATAGAATCAGTTTTTTTAAGTTTCGAGAAAAACATTCACAAATGCTAATAAGGATGAATAATTATACACTTATATTTGAAAAAGAATAATAAAAATGTTAATAATGTTTGAAAGTAACTGACATAATTAGTAAAATCAACTTACTGGGAGTAGCAAATGGGGTAGGAGACATTGCTGGAAAACTAATGCCATATGAATTACGAGCAAAAAGTCTAAACTGATAGGATGTTGATGGTAAAAGATTCCTGAAACTCACAGTATAGGAAGACTGAGGACCATTATTCAAAAGAATTAATGTTTGCCATTCATCTGTATTATCTGAAACAGAAATCACAATGAACATTAATTAAAATATTTTTCTATAGTTTTTATTAAGGCAATTTTACATACACGAGAAGAGTTGATAATAAAAGTATAGTAAAAAATCATTTTTGTTGCCACAAGATACTTTTATTAACTCTATGATTACTTGTAGATCTTTATAAGTATTAAGTTAATTCCCAATTAATAATCGAATAAAAAATTAACAACATCCAATTTCAATAGTTTCTAAGAAATGAGTTATTAAGTGTGATTATTTTATAACGTAATTATTTAGCTTTGAACTTAGTTTACCTTTTTTTTCTTTACTTATTTATTTTTTTCATTTGGTAATTGCGCATTAGTGTGTTTTAATACCTTTAATTCGAATCTTTGGCAACTGTTCTGTGTTTGTATAACTTTTAAAACCCAAACTCACTTAGTGAAGGGTGTGATATTCAAATTTATTTTTTTCTTATTCTTTGTTTTAATGCAGAGATGGTACTACCATCAAGTTTTTTTGGGGGGATTGAAAATATCATTACCACACACCAACAATGCCAAGCATCTAGATTTTATTAAACGAATTATGTTTCTCTGTTTGCTGTTTATGACTCAAATTATGTTATTTTTTTCTTATTTCTATCAAAAAATCAGAGAGTAAATTAAATATAAAGTTATATCTTTAAACTTAAAGAGCTTTATCAACTAATCAATAATTTAAACTACTTCGGTGTAGTTTGATTTGAGCTTCTGGTAGGTTAAGAAAAAGAAACAAAAAGAGAAAAGCATGGGTGAGTGTTGCATGTTACTGTTAACATGATCAACTGTTTAGAAAAATTTAGCTGATTTTAATAATTGACTCCAATACCTTCCTCTTTCAGAATCATTTTAAGTTGCTTATCAAAACTCCATAACTAAAAGAGCTGGGGCTAGCATTTACAAAGTCCACTAACAGTATTTTCCTGCCAATTTGAATTTGGCTATTCAATTCTAAAATATAACTCACAGTATTTTAATCCCTTATCTTATTCTTTTATTTAGTTGCAATGATGATCTTATGAAAATAGTAGGATTAAGTGTTGAAATTATTCTGTTTGTTACTTATTAGGTACAATTGAAAAACAGAATTAAGAGCAGCACAGTTTGGTTGTATTTCTAAATATTATGCCAACATTTAAAACTGTTAATGAGAAGCAGCAGGTAAGAAAATCAATTTTTTTAGAAAGAACTTAGAAAAAATTTTAAAATAAAGAAGTTTTCCGACAAATAAGAACAGACAGATATGAATATAGTTATTAAACACTTTTTACCAGATTCTTTGTATTCTATAAGGTACCCAATAATTGGAGATGCCCCTTGAGGACCATTCTTCCACGTCAAAGTTAATGAACTGTGGCTGTGCTTCAATATTAGTTCTTCTGGAGCAGAGGGTGAACCTAAGAAAGTTAGTTCAAATAGATATTATAAATAGATAGCTTGCATGAGAATAATAAACTTTAAAAGACCTTATAAAAGATGAGCCACTCCCTTCCAAATCATCAAATATAAATGCAAATAATTTTACATTGATTTTTAATACTTTTTTTAATTATGTTTAAAACTATATTTTTAATGGTTTTAATATCTAAGCACAAAAAGGAATTACAAAATAATGAAAAATTTCAAAAATTTAATAAAAAAGATTTTTTATATTCATAAAATAAATTAACAGTTATACAAAATAAAACAAATCCCCATCAAAAAAAAGTGTAATTAACACTGGGATGACAATCAATAAAAAAAAAGAATAATTTATAAAAAATAACATAAAAACCAAATCAACAACCACCATTAATTTCAAACCTTACCCTTTGAAAAATTCAAGTTTCTAAGAAAATGTTTTATATTTTTTCATTAGGTTTGATTCAAGCTAAAGTATTTATATAAAAAACAAAATATTCAATGGTATAACCTAATAGTTTTATTTTTAAAAAAACGGGACTGTTTTTTTTTAAATAAAATTATTTAGTTTCAAATGCAATTTAAACCAATGTGGTTTAAACCATGACCAAACCTGGTCAACTTTCTGCTGTATATAAATAAAGCTAAAATATTGCAAAAAAGCACAAATAATGTCATATTTAAAGTCATACTATCTACTGAAAAATCTTCAGTGCCTTTATTTCAACAGAAAAAGTTCCCAATTATAAAACCAGAGCAGTAATTTGTCATTTGATGTGACGCTATTTGTTCTTTTCTATTTGTTTTAGCTTAATTTGTGAACTATACTTGCAAAATAAATACTTTATGCCTCCTACCTCCTTGTGGTCCAGTGGTAATATTTCCAACTGACTCTGGACCATAGTCAAATGTTTCAGCACGAACACGGAAAGTGTAAGTTACAGCTTCAGCTAAGCCATGAACACTTAAAGAAGTAGAAGTAACTTTCTGCTTCACTTGTTTGCTAAAATCTGGAGAGAAAAATGTATTCAATTAGATACATAAAAGTTATCCATTACAAAAGTCACCATAAAATTAAAGAATGTACATAGAGTTAAAAATGTAAAGCTTGGTTATATTTTTTGAAAATTAAAAATAAACTGAATAAGTTAATGGACAGATTGAAATTTCAGTTCCATAAACTAGAATCTGATCGTATAAGGTTCTATGAACAAGAAACTTGAGAATCTGACAATATTCTCAGTTATAAAACATATAAAATATTTTTTAAAAATTAATGAAAATAAATATTATACAATTTCTAAGTATAAAGCCTATCTTTTTCTTTTGAGATAGTGACAGTATCATTTTTATTTTAGATACTTAAATTGTCAAATAAAATTAATCATAAATGTGAAGAAAATTGGATTTCAGATGATTTGACTTATATATATCTCATTTACAGTATTCTTTTGTGCTTATGTTTCTTAGGTAACTGTTTTTAATGCAAAAAAGACTTGACTAAATAAATAAATTAAAATTGTTTAATTTTAATAACTGAGCAATTATAACTATAACTTTTGACATGTTTTAAAAAAGTTTTTTCTCATGTTTAAATATACTTGTATTTTTTCCCCTATTAAAATGTATAAATGGTAAAACTACAAAAAATACATATATACTTTTGTAATTTTATAGCAATGCTGGAATAAATAATTTAACAATAATTATATTTTTTAACAATAATTTTTTAACAATAATTATATTTTTTCATAAAAAAAACAAAGCTTACTTTAAATAAATTATTATATTTGCATAGTATTATATATAATTTATAAAAATAAACTTTCTAAAATACAGACATAATACATAATTTAAAGTTAAACACAAATTTTAAAACTACATTTTTTAAAATAACCTTTAAAAAAATAGAAAAGAAGGCAAGGAGAAAAATAAGCCTTTCCCAAAGATGTAAAAATTATGGTAAACAACAAAAATTCTAATAATCCAACACATGATAAATAGGAAATTAAATTTAGGTATCAGTTTTAAAATTAAGTACAGAAAGTCTATAATAGAATTTCAAGTTGGTAACTTACCAATATCAGGAAGAGCTGTTTCATAGGTTACTAAATAACCAGCAATGACACCATTCGGTTCAGAAGGAGGATTCCAACTCACTTTTAAAGAAGTCATGGTAACATCAATAAAAATTAACGGCCCAGGTGGTCCAGGAATATCTTCCATTGTAGAAATATATTGTGGTGGTGAGCGGGGACCATCTCCTGCAGGGTTAAACGCCAAGATTTGAATATTGTACTCAGTGTACTTCTTCAAATCCAGCAGAACATAGGACACAGTGGCAGGAGGTACAGCTTCCATTTCTTCAAATCCTTCATTATTAGCAGGTTCATAAAATATCTTATAACCAAGCAGATCACCATTTTGCAAGGACGGAGGAGGTGGCTTCCAGGATACTTTCAATTCAGTGGAGCTAATTGACTCAATCGTGACTTCTCTCGGTTCACCTGTAGGTACTGCTTCCCCAACAAACACTTGTACAGGAAGACTTGATGGACTTTCCCCTCTACTGTTAAAGGCATAGACCCTGATTTCATAAACTCTATCCCTTTCAAGTTGATGCAGAGCCAAAACAGATGAATTGACACCTTGAATCTTTCCTGCTGGACAGTCACCAGTTCTTGGAATCGAATAAGCCGACACCTGGCAGTATTCAACACGATATCCAGCAGTACGAACATCGCCATTCCAATCTTCAAATCCTAGGGCTTCCCAGCTGACTCTGACAGATGTGGTAGTATATGGAGTGGCCATAACATGTTTTGGAGATTGTTCAGGTGCAGCAGGAAACGTCCACGTTAAATTGGACTCTTGACTCCAACCACTAGAACCAATATCATTTGTTGCTTGTATTCTAAATTTGTAAGGCGTAAAGGGTTTTAAACCTGTAACAGTATACTTGTTAAGGGTTGGATCTACTTTGGCAGCAACAGTTTTCCAAGAGTTGTCGCTTTTAGTCATCTGAACCGTATTAAAACGCAAAGGTGCAAATCCATCTCTTCCAGGAGTCCAGCTAAATGTTATCTGCCTAGCTTGGATTTGAGAGTTACTAATTTGAGGAATAGATGGTGGTTGAGGAGCTTCGCGATTGTTAGTAGTGAAAACTTTTACATGGGCAGTTTTACCCCACCCTTCATTACTTTTAGCAGTGAGAGAAAACATATAATATGTATCGGGTTGTAGATTTAGAACTTTTAAAGTACGTTCAGTTGGTGCCAACTCTTTTACTATTTCCTCTTCATTGGAGTTATATAACCTATAAGAAACTCTGTAAGCTAAAATTTCACCATTGGGCTCTTCTGGCACGTCCCATAAAATACGTGCAGTAGTTGTGGAAACATCAGGAAATGATATGTTTGAAGGAACACCAGGAACGTCCTCAAATGTTCGTACAGACATAGGTGGAATGCTTAAAACACCATCACCTATACGTGTAAAAGCTAAAACCTGCACACTATATTGTGTATATTTTCTCAGTTCAGTAAGTGTAGTTGTAAAAGTGTTATTGCTTTCAATTGTCTTATATTGAAAAGGCACATTTTTGGCACCATAATAAACTTTATACCCTTCAATAATACCATTTTGATGGATTTTAGGCACTTCACCCCACTTTACAACAATGGTTGTTGATGATGTAGCATTAATTTTTACATCAGTGGGTCCAGAAGATGGAACTGCTTCTCTTGTTCTTTCACGAGCAGGTATGCTAAGAGAACTACTTCCGACATCATTGAACGCCTGGACAGCTATTTCATAATCTGTGAACTCTTCTAAATCTTTGAGAACGAAGCTGTTAGCATTATGGTCTTCAAGAACAATATGATGATAGGTATTATTATCTGAAGAATTTTCCAAGTTATCCATTGAAATCGGTCGATAATGAATGTTATATCCTCTGGGAATGCCAAACCATTCTACTTGTTGGAGAGGCTGAAATAAATAATATTCCATGCTTTAAACTAACTTATCAGAAGTCTACATTCAAAATATAAAACAGCTTTTATTTAAAATTAGCTTTATTCATAAACTTGGAAAAATATATAAATGTAGAAGAAAATGTAATGAGTGAATTGCTTATCTACAAAAGGATGCATTATGCTTTAAAAAAATTTAGAAAGTAAATTATGCACTTTAACACAGTTATAAAATGTATCACTTAATTTTTATTTAATTGCAAGTTTACAAATATGAAACTTTTAAATTACCAAAATAAGAAGTATTATTAAAACATATAAAAAAAGATTCCAACTTTAAAAAAAGATTCTAACTTTAAAGGCTATACTTTTATTATAAAATATACTTGTGATTTCATGACAATAAATAATAATATAGAAAAAAAAATACAAATATTGGTAAAAAATATTTGTAAAAAATAAATAAAAAAATTCTTTAAAAATAGAGGATCATTTCTTTCTATTTAAACTATTCCCTGGCATATCAAAAATATATTACTTGAATAGTGTCTTAACTATAAAACATCCTTTACATTAACTATACGAAGCATTCCCACGTGCCTTACAACCCGCATAAAAAACATTGTTAGCACAATAAAATAATTTCGATAAATAAATAAAATATAAATATAATATAGATAATTATAGCGATAAACAATTCTCATTATTATTTTATGATATAGCTTAGATTTTACTCACGTAATATATAAAGACAGATTGTTTAAAAAAAACTACTTTGACTCTTTAAAAACTTCTGTAGTTACTACTTGAATATGTGACAAATTTCTAAAATAGTTACCAATACGCTTTAAATCATTTAATTCCAATTTTACATTTAAAACACTGCTAAATTTGCAACCAAAGTACTTACTGTCCATCGAACTCTTAAAGCCTTAGCATTAACTGCTCGAACGGTGACATTATAAGGAGGATGAGATGGAGGGGCTTGGATTGTCTGAAAGAATTTTGATGGATGACTTGGTTCACTAGACCCCACAACATTAATTGCTATGAGTCGAAGACGATAGTCTGAAAACGGTAGCAGGTTCTTAACTTCAATATTAGAGGCTTCTGGATCAGAGACTTCATAAATTTTGAACCATGATTCATTGCGTCTCGTTTGAGCTTCGACTGACCACTTTATTATAGATGTATTTCCATCAAATCCAGGAGTGAATTGCAATACAACAGAAAAGGCTCCAATATTCGAAACAGCTAACTTTGTAGGAGGGCCTGGCAATACTGAAATGACAATGAAATTTTTATGACATATTTGCTATTAATTCATTAACAAAAAATATGATTACTAAGCCAAAGTTAAATAAAATCCCAAGAAAGAGAAGGGGTAAGATAATACTTCATTAAAAAAATCATTGCCTTCAAAAATATGCAGATGGGAATAAAGGTTGACACGTTAAAAGCACTCAAAAATAGGAACCCATTTTCAAGACTTGCTACACATGAATGAGAAGAAACAAAGGTGATTTGAAATGCAAAACGTAAAGTTGCCTACAAAAATGGAAAGTAAAGGCGAGAAACAAAACTAGAAAAGGTGAAAAACAAAACTTCTAAAAAAAAACAAGAAAAAACAGCGGCTTTACTTATTCTGGCTTTTCTTCTTTATTCTGTTTTTTCTTCTTTCAAATTACTTTTATTCAGGGTTATCAACCCACTCACAACCCCCCCCCCCCAAAAAAAAAATTTTAAAAAATTCTGTGCTCAAATGGATTTTTTTTAACCATAATCAAAATCTGCTCTAATATCAATTATTTTTTTTTTATTTGGCTTATAACTAATAAAACATAATACAGAAACATACATAACTCTAAATTAAAATAATAATTTCTCTCACTTCAACATTAAGAAAAACTACTTTTTTTAAAACAATAATTTGAGCTACTTCATTATTATTTGTTTTGAACTGAACACAGGCTGAAGTACTGGCTGAGTACAGGCTCCTTACTAAATAAGTTTTCAAATATGAATAAAATAAGCATATATAAGTATTATAGCAAATAAAAATAAAAATTTTTAATTCTTTACAAAAGATTATTTTTGTTTTATAAAATATATAAATGGATGGATTATAATATTCTGTTAGTAATCATATTTTAATGCTACAAAATAATGACTTAAATACAAAAATTCCTTGAATTTCAAACAATGATAAAATACTGAATAACAAGAAATAAAAGTTAACTTATTTGTATTGTAAATTTTATTTAATAAAATTTTACATGATTGATTAATTATTTTATTTTATTGGTCACAGTAAAACTAAATACATAGTTAAAAGAGCAATTCAAAACACTATTAAGACAATTGTTAAATAAACAGTAGTTATGTAGTTAGTTGTATTGGAAAGTCTTGAAATTAAGTACCTATTTTTGAGCATTTGATACATGTCGACTTTTATTTCTATCTGCATATTTTTGAAGCCAATGAATTTTTTTTAAATCACGTAATACTATCCTTAAGCTTTACCACAATTCCTAGTTAACACATGAATAGGGTTTGCACACTCCTTGCAAAAACAAAAGAGTGGAAGTAATATTGTCATAGGCTCTTTATTCAATTATTCTTTTATAAAAGTTAAGTTGCCATTATATAAATTTTTATGACCATAAAATATTTAAATTCTAAATTTAGAAGCATGACTTTAAAATAAAATGTTACCCAAAACTAAACATTGCAACTACATTTTTTTTCCCAAAGAGTGAATACACCCTGATAAAACATTGTAAAAACAAGCATAGCTACTAATTAGAAATTAAAAGAAAAGATTTAGTAGATCTTACAAAGCAATAAAAACCTTTTGAGATCTATTGCTAAAATAAATGTAGTTATTTTCATCTTACTGAATATTCTAATAATCAATAAAAAGTAAAGCAGTATTGTAATAGTAGAAAAAGTAAAATGACATTAAAACTATATAACAATAAAATTCATGATTTTGAATATATACAGATACTAAACAAATTTTACACAATTGTAAAAAAATCTTAATATATTGATTCAAACTTTTCATAACGTAAAAAAATATTCTCATTTCAAAATAGAAAATTTTGAATAAAAATCTGGAATTATTAAAACAAAAAAAAATCTTCAATTTAATCACTATAAGAATTCTTTTTTTTTTCTTCTTCTGAAAGTTTCATGCCAATATTAAAAGCCAACCAAGCAATGACTGTATTTTTCAGCGAAAACCAGGAGAATTTTGTGAGAACTAGAAACAATACACACATAAATACAAATAAGTTTCCATACCTGGTGGGATACCAGATTGAATAGTAGCAGTTTTCACTGGTCCCGGGCCAACTACTGTCCAAGCAAATATCTCAAAAGTGTATGCAGTTGTGGGTCTGAGATCGGTGACCTGAACTCTTGTAGCATCAGCAGAAAGATTACGAATAACAGTGGTTTCTAAGATATCTTTCACGTGGTATTTTAAAGTATATCCTGGAAAATATACATATCTTTCAATTTATGACCTAAAACTAATTAAAAGCGCACATATTTCCTATCAATGGCGAAAGTATTCAATAATAATAAGAATGTAAAAGATTCGTAAAATATTAATGTTTTTTTTTTCTTTGTTGTTGAAATTTGACAAAAATGGCTGTTAAAAATAAGATAATACTAGCAAATAAATAGTCACATTTCCAATTGCAATCATAGAAAACAAGTTCTCATAAAAATAAATACAGGAAAGAAAATACTTAAGGAAATTAAAAAAAGGCTCATTAAAGAATCGTTTAAAATTTTAAGCAAAACTTGTAAAAAATATTGCTCCTTCTTAGTAGCTAACTTTTAATGAGGTATTTATAAAAATAAATCACTAAATATGTACTGATTGAAGGTACAAAATATTAAAAGATAAAGACATCTTTACAAAAAAATTAAAATTAAATAAATTTAAGCACTGCAAGGTAATTATAGGAAATTTTTGTAACAAAAATAAATTATTTTGATTCTTTTCCCTTTGCAACTTTCCCTTTTTTCCCTTTGCACTTGAATTCCCTTTGCAAATTGAATGCACTTTTCCCTTTGCAAATTGAATGCAAAATGTTAACCTGATAAATTCTTTAACATTCTTATTTATAAGTAGAATATTAAGTATTTTAATATAAATATGTGACATCAGAAATTTTAGAGCTGAGATCACTTGTCACAGCGAGTCTTAATACAATTCATAGAAAAACAAAATACATAAGACTCATAACACATAGATAGAAATATTTAATTGAAATCACTCCAATGTTTCTTAAATGCTAAATTATGTGACTTATTAATAATTTGTATTATTATTTTATATTAGTAATATCATTATAATTTAGATAGTAACACAAATAAATTATTTAATAACAAATTGCTATAAAACTTTAAATTGTTTCTTGAAATTGCATGCAAAATTAAAAAGCATTTCTCAACAATAGGTCTAGTGATACCTCTTTCACTATTTCCAATTCCAGCTAACGTTAAATTTTAGACTAACGTTAAAAACAGCAGTAAGAAATGGACAAACGTAATAATTTCCTAAGTTAAAATTAGAACAAGAATGTTTCGTTTACAGTTGAAACATATCAAATACTTGATGAAATAAGAGTTTTAAAAAAAATCTTAAATACTTTTTGCAATGCAAAAAGCTTGCTTTAAACAATAAAATGAAAAAGCAAAGAATGCATTCTTAAACATGTTTGCTTTAGTGAACCATGTTATGCTGCTATTAATAGTTTAAAAAATTATTAAATAAAAAAATAAAAATTGATTTAATGAAACAAAATATAAGATTTAAATGTTAGCTTTTATTTCTGTTAAATGTTTTGCTTAAAACATAGTTTTAAATATATTTTATGAAAATAAAATAAAAAACTAAAATTTTCACTGTACATACAAAAAATTAATCTAAAGATCTAAAGTTTTCATTAGGTTACTCCACAAAGGTGATTTTTTACTAATCATATTCATTTCCTCGCCAAATGCGTATTAAAAAAAATTTTAAACACACATATAGTCACAGTGACTTCAAAATAATATCAAACTGATTACAGCATTCAAGGCCAGAGATATAACCATTTTATATTGTCCTTAAGAGGTCAGAATGTTACTTTATCTAGTAACTTTACATAAATGTGAGATGGACTATTTAATATGACCTTTGTCCCTCAGAAGCCACAATATTTTTTACTCAGGACTTAAAGTCATAGAGAAATTTTGTTGCTACTCAACAGGATCAAGGTGTAATGGAACTGTGACACATTTACATTTCAAGAGGATCCCCATGTGGCAAATTCAGATGAGAATGTATCACATCTTTGTCACACGGTGACTCCGGAAATTAAATGCCTCATTGAGGATTCATGTTGACATCAGGTTGATGTCAAAATGTGACATCACCAAAGGCAGACACAGTAAACTTTTTTGACATACACAGTGACGTCCCCAAAACTACATTTGACTTAACAAATGAGTCTCTGTGACTGTAGCATTTTTGTTAGAATCTGGTAACAGTATTTTCTAAGTGTAAAAGTTACTTAACTCTTAAATGCATTGCATATTTAAATTCTCATGTATAGTAACATTAAATGTAGCAACTTTTGCAGTGTTCTTCTTTTAATTTTAATTTTACAAGAACTATTTTATCGTTTTCGGATGCAACTGGAATCTTTGACAATTTATTTCTTGTCTTTATCTGTAACAACTATCAATGTGTGCAATTTTATACTGATAGGTGTTATTTCTTAACTGTGAAACTGCAATCCTGGCTAAGAATTCATAATATTTACAGATAAATCGTAATAGTTTGCACATCTGTATTTATATAAAAAGTCAGTACGTTTGAAAAGGATTATTTATATAAAAATTTATGTTTGAAATATTATTGTAAGCAGTAGATTTATAGAATTCAAGGAATGATTACTCATGATGATGTAGAAATGAATCAGTGTGCTTTTTGAAAAAAAAAATTTTTTTTTTCCTTCCTTTAACTATGCTATACCCCAGTTGATTTCAAACAAAACAATTTATTAAAAACACAAATTCATGTATTTAAGGGTTGATGTCATTAAAAAAGAAAGAGAAGGGGCTAATCTGAAGAAGAAAAAAATTATGAACTTAATATTGATCATATCCTTTATATTGTTTATTTAATTCATACACATAATTGCTTTTACACTATGGCATGTTCCAATGACCATCAGTCAAATGTTTAGCTTCTAATTAAGAATTTTAAAACAAAATTTAGATAAGAAAAGAGATGCATTTTAATTAACAGAAATTACATTTAAAAAAAATATTTTTTATTAAAAGGCAGCAGTTTCCATGAAATAATTGTTGTTTTTTTTTATAAGACAGAAAACAACTTTTTGAAAAATAATAATTAGCTGAAATAATGTTTTAACAAAACACCTACCTTTCAAGATGCCATTGATTCGTTCAGGGGGGCTCCACACTACCATTATAGTAGTATCTAATATGTCCTCAAATTTTAAAGTCTTCACTTCATTGGGCACTATGAATCAAAATTTACAAGATAAATTAGTGAAAAAATTAAGAAACAAATATAGACTTAGAACAAAATAAAAAATAAAAATTGCGCAGAACATGTGAACAAAAACAATGACAATAAAACCTGGGTTCAATGCCATAAAAAAAGCTACTTAAAAAAAAATAACAGTAATGATATGCATACAGTTTTGAGTTACGATAAAGTATAATTTTAACTAGTCTTGGTAGTTTTAGTTACTTTGAACTTGACTAAATGGTAAAATCATTTTTTTCTAATATTTTGCTTTGCTTTTGTTTGTTGTGACTTAAAATGCTCTAAATGCTTATTTTAATTATTCTAACAGTACAATTATATTTTTTATTACACCTCCATTTAAAAGTAATTTACTCACCATCTTGTTTGGTAGTAATCACTATAGCATCACTTGTTGGGCCATCACCTGGACTGGTAAAACACAGTACAGTTATATGGTAAGTAGTAAACTTTTCCAAAGATCCAACAATAGCATCTTGCTCAGCCAAGGGGTCTAAAGGACTAGGTGCTACTAAGACAGTATGCGAAGGAGTAATATTGGATTCGGGATTTCTAAGCCAAGTCTGCAGCTGAAAATATAAAGCAGCATTTAATTTTTTCTTTTAGAAAATTTTAAAATTATACTCAGTTTTTGAATAATTTAGAATAAATTTTATTAACATGAGAATAAGTTTTATTTAGCCTTATACTTCAATTTAAATACTTTCGTGTACTGTAATTTCATAATCTGTAAAGCAAAGAAGTAAATACACCATTTACATGAATATTGCTTGTGACTTTGTGAATACTTTTAATGACTATACAGAAAAATTTTCAATATCATCTACATAATACACAATCAAACTGAGCAAAGATATATAAGTGTGAAGTAGGTGTACAATTTAAAAACAAACAAGTAAAATAGCTAACCTGCAAAACTATAATGCTAAGTACACTAAAGTAAACTTAAATAAAACCATACAAAGAGCAGGTCGAAATTAGAATGGTTTTTCTGATTAAAAAACTAAATGCTATAGCAACTAATAATATCAATTTTAGTGGGCAATAATTTTAAATTTAAATAATCACTCTTAATGGACTCTAACAAATTAACATAATTATAGACAACAATACAGTGTATGGACCCGAATCTTTTGAATTGACTCCCGAACCGTCTTAAACTTTAATAAAAATATGAAAGAAAAAGGTAACAGAAAAAAAAAACTATTTTACAGTGTTCCTTGAGAAAGTAAGTTGCTGATCTAGTTCAGCCTTCCTTAGTGATTTAGATTTTTATAATTTTACTTTGCAAGTTTTATATAGGGCAAAGAGCTTCTGCACCAGAAAAAATATATCAATTAAATAGAATTTCACTTTAATCTACATAAATAAATTGGAACAAAAAAATTCCAAAATTAAAATATATAATAACAAGAAAGGATACCACAAAAGAATATGACAAACTTTATTAAAAATATGAATCATTAAACTTTTAACTTGAATCATTAAAAAATATGAATCATTAAACATGTTGATCATAAAATTTATTTTATAAATAAATCAACATACACATTTTAGAACACAAATATCTAATGATAGGACTAAATCTTAGCTAAATTAAAAGTAACATTTGTAAAAAATTTATGTATATAAAATAAACATAAGAAAAATTTTCACAACAAATATTTTATTTAGAGTAAGGAAATGGTTCAATTTTATATCCCACATCTATTTTATAATACAATATACTCTCAAACTTCTATATCTTGAAAACCTTGCTGTGTCAAAAAAATATTTGTCCTCTCTGGCATTACATAACCATCTAATGTTAATTTGAATTCCTACGTAGAAGAACCACTTCCTAAAACCTTGTTACGTCGAATATTTTTCGTTAGAGAAAATAAATTTTTTTTGTTGTAAAAATCACAATGTGAGTTTATTGTAAACCAATTATTTCCTATTTAATACATAATAATTTTTGTCTTACTTTTAAAAATTATCATAGTACTTAGACTCATAGTCAACTATCATTACATGTAGAATTATTAGTTATTATTCTTGAGTTTCATGACTCTACTTTTTAGGGTACAATTTTAGAATATATTTTTCTACCTTTTAGAACATATTTAGCTCTGAACATGTTATCTCGAAATTTTTTTAGCGTTCCTTCAACTTTGAAATATTGAGAGTATACTGTATTACAATGTGCCACTGCAACAGCAACATTAGGTTACATCCATTGAAATTTAAAATCTTTTTAAGACGAATATTTAAAAAAAATTTGAAAAAAACATTTTTAATTTGGAAAAAAAAATTTTTTTTGAACGAGCAATACCTTATAACCTTGATTGATGCCATTTATCAACTGAGGATCTGGGGGCTTCCACCAAACATGAATAGCAGTTGAGTTAACTGCTTCTGCTCTGATGTCGGTTGGTGATGCTTGGGGCACTAAAACAATCATCAACAAAAATTAATATGCGTACAAAATAACAAATTTTTTTCCCTTCAGTCATCCATCGTTTCCTTATTTATTAGACAAATTTAAAACTTAAAAATACTAAATAAATTCAGTATCTAAACAAGGTGCATAGCCAGATTTTTCAACAAATAATAAGTACATTTTAAGTACTTTCAAAGCACTCATAAAATATTTTTAATCCCTTTCTTAAAAAAAAATTATAATTAGGATCTGTGCAGTAATAAAAATTATTTTTTCCAATTGTTTTAAGTCTTTGATTTATATGCACAAAATCAATAAAATTCAAAAACATTTTCAAAAACTTTCCATAATCATGATTAAGTTGTTTCGGATAAATATTGCATAGAAAATTGTGAAAATCATGCATTTCTTGTAATTTAGAACGACAATCAACACGGCAAAGAAAATATCTCTTTTTAAAAGATAGAAAATTAAGCACTTTTTTACAAACCCTGCATAAAAGAAAAGCACCTTTAAACACTTTTTAGTTAAGTAGTTAATTAAATAAATATAATAAATTCATCAAGACCAAAATTTGAAATTTGGCAAGGTTGTTTGAACCCACAGTAATGAATATCATAAAAGACTCAAAAATAGATGAGGAGTTTGGAATTACGACGCCAGCGCTTCGCATATTCTGACCAGCGCCAGCCTGATCAAAATATGGGGACCATATTTTCAAAATTGTGGCTACCCCCTATATAAACTATGAGGGTAAGTCATCCAAATAAGTTGAAAAAAAATTATATGTTTATCCAGATAAAACACCTTTTTGTGTATGATTTCATAACTTAAATCATCAGATACATAAATTAATTAACATATTTGAGCTCAAACTCATGAACCCTTAAGTTTCAGCACAAGAAAACTCGAGCATTAGATCAAAAATTATTCAGGATGTTTCATTTTTTCCCCCACTATGTACATAATAATAAAATATAGGATTATTTACTTTAGATCTCCTAGGCTTTTAACTTCCTCCTTTTCCACAAATTCAAATTCCCAGACAATTCCAGGTCTTCCTGACCTAGTGGGAAGCTTCTAACAAAAATTTTTCTCAGCCGAGTTTTTAAAAATCATTGCAATTTGCAACCAAAAAAAAATTGCACATTTCAGAGAAAGAGCAATTCCATGTCATGGATTAATAATTAGCTATTATACTTATAGAGGGCATGATCTCATAGGACCATTCAAACTAGGAGAGGCACAAACATACACATTTTTAACAAATAGAAATTTAAATTAACCAACCTCCTTCTCTGGTACGAATATAAATGCTAGTTGAGAAAGCGCCCACTCCTTTCTCATTACAAGCAGCAACTTGAATTTCATAATTCTGCCAAACTATAAGATCTTGAAGTAAGAAACTATGTTGGGCTTCATTCGTGATATTATGATATGCCCAGGGGCTAGCTGAATACCCTGCCAGCTTATATCTTATTACATAACCAACAAGCATTCCATTTCGATCTTCTTCAGCAGGATTCTAAAAAAAAATATTAGTTAGTAAAACTTCCTTCACATAAAACGAGTCATGAAATTTTACTTATTAGGACAGACTTATATCATCAGTAAAAGCACCAACCTGCCACTGTAACATAATAGATGTTGAGGATCTTGCACCGCCAACAACCCCTTGAGGTGGCCCACTTGGAGCTGGAAATGAAAAATTAAGTTTTATAACACTTTAAAAACCACTATTGAAGAAAAGTCTTAGGACATGTTTTTAAAAGACACTCTTTTTAAAAATATAGAACATATGTTGGTGCAAAAAAAGAAACATATTTAAATTAAATATAAGTAAGCTTCATGCTACAATTTTCATTAAAGTTTCAATCTATAAATGTCATTTCTTTTTAATACTAAGGAAAATTAATTCATATATAGCAGGCTTTAATGTGAATAAAAGGCGCACAGTTATTTGTGTCAAACATTTAACAAAAAAAAATTAAATTTTTAAAATACCTTAACTTTTAAACTTCAAAACTTATAACTGATTCATTCGTTCTCTAAGTCAGAATAAAACTTATTCACCAATACATTTGTTGATATAAATTACACTGGGAAACAAATTTTTTATTGCATTTACACAAATACTTGATTTGCCTAATTCGGGTGTGGAGATTGACAACATATACAGACCTTGTTTCCTAAACAGTTTTAATTCCCATGATGTGCTTTAATTCCATTAGAAATCTGTCGCAACATTCTGTTATATATAAAATCTTTAAACTTGTACATTTCTACAAAAATAAACTAAAAATTGCATTGGAAAAAAAAACTGTAGCTTGGAAAGAGAAATATATTGCAGATATGAAAATGGCAACTAGTAAATATCCAAAATTTGTCATAAAATCGTATGCAACAGAAAACTAAAAAACTTTGTTCCCCGTGTAATCAAATCAAAGTATTTTAAACTATGCACAAAAACAAAAATCCATTCATATGAATTTGAAACATAAATAAAGCAGCTCCTTTAAAAAATTTAACTAATGTAGTAATAAATAAAATATTAGAGTAAGTATGAAGTAGGTGAAATGGTTGTAACTTACGTTCAGGTGGTAAGTGTATAATTTCTGCAGCTGCTCTAGGATTACCTTCTCCAACACCATTTACCGCACTAACTCTAAATTCATAACTGGAGGCAGGTTTTAAGTTTGCAAGCACTGCATAGCGCTGGTCTCCTGAAATATCGTCTCTTACTGTTGTCCAAGGTAACAAAAATTCCATATCATTATCAACTGCTGAAACAGAGATTGTAACTAATTAAAAAATTTTAAAATACAATTAATATGCTATTCAGCTCTTCATGCTAGACATTTACAAAAGAGAACAAAAAAATACATTTTAAATTTTAGAAATTTAAGTAAAAACACACACATGAGGTTACGTACAAATATGCTAAATAAATTAGGCATGAAGCTTGAATTACGTTAAAATATGATCCTTTGATGTTAACTTTTTATTAAATATCATAATAAGAACGATTAAATAAACATGTGAAAGATACAATTTTTTAAAACACACAATAGTAATTTACTTAATTTAATTACATTTTTAACATCTCTTTTCATTTAAAACTATTGATCTATGTTTTGCAATTTTTTTACACCACTAACATATTCTAATCATATTTTAAAGATATATATAATTTCTTTCTCTCTTTTTTTTCGCAGATTCAACAAATAAGTCACAATTAATAGACATCATCTATTAAAATACAAAATTAATATGACAATGCAAATTTAATCTGATTGAATTTCAAATCAAGTGTTTAATTTTTCTGCTTTAAAAAAATCACACAACAAGTTTTGCATCATACTTATCTGTCTCTGTTAATAAATTTAATAAGCCTTTTATTATATAATTTACTTCATCTATTAATAAATCAAATTACACAGATAGATCAAACTATATAGACTAAACTAGAATTAATAAAAGTTTAAGACACAGGTAAACTCTGAATAATATATTGGCATAGCTGCAGCAAAGAGAAAAAAATTATAAAAACTGTTGAAAATGCAGTATTCAAAACAAATTATATACATCAAAAGCGTACAAAAAATTTTCTTAGGCCCATATTGCATGTATGGGTAAAATATAATTCTTGATATGTAATTGTGCAAAAATAGTAAGATTTTTAATTACCTTTAACAACAAGTTGGGTAAAAAAATTCGATTATATAGAAATTTTAGTTTAAAACTCCTTAATTTCAAATAAACATTGAGATCTGAATTATCTTTTAAAAACTTTATCCTTTTGAAAAACAAACAATGGTCAAAGCTTTAGTTGTTTTAAAACCTTATTACATTCAATGAGAATAGACGAAATAAGAATAGATGAGATAAAATAAAATTAATGCACATAAGCCTACATAGAGGAAATAACATATATAGCAAAATTATATTCTATAACGTAGTAGCTGCTAACTGAATTATTGGTTATTAAGTACCGTATATTCCGGGGTATAACGCGCACTTTTAATACAAAACATAACATTGGAATTTACGGGTGCGCGGTATACGCCGAATATTAAAAATTATTGACTAAAAAAATGTAAATAGTATAGAAAAATACTTTTATTTTAAAGAAATAACATACCTTTACCTATATACTTTATTGATTTTCGTTATTACATAAATAGTTCATTATATTCGTCTTCCGTTATTTCTTCAGGCACGTCATCACAATCTGTTTCGTCTTCTTAATCTGTGTTACCCTCATCCATAAATAAACAGCCATCTTCTGATCCGACCAGATTATTTGAAATACTGCATTTTTTGAATGATTTTCTAACCATCTCAGGCTTAATTTCATCCCATGCTTTTAATATCCATTCGCACACTGTTTCCAAACTTGCATGACGCATATGTCCTCCTTTCGTAAAGGTTTTCTCGCCATCCAACATCCAAGTGTTCCACTGTTCTTTTAAATTGGCTTTAAATGGTTTGTTTAAGCATACGTCCAATGGCTGAACTTATAGTGTTATTCCGCCCGGAATAACTGTCATATCGGTGTTACATTCTTTCACCAATTTTTTTGTATTATCTGTAAGGTGGGACCTAAACATGTCCCACACTAAAAGGCTTTCTGGTTATCTATTGATACTAGACGAGATATTGCACATGTACAATCAAAATTTTCGTGCGCGTTATACGAAGAGTATATCTTAAAATTTAAAAAAAGTTATTAGAAATTATGGGTGCGCGTTATACGCTGGAATATACGGTATGAAATCCAAGAGCAAACTATTTATATAATTCTTTACCATTTATAAGTTGTCAGTTTAGTAATATTACCAGAGAAATTTAAAGAGAGAGAATTGCCGAAAACCAATTTTATTTAAAATAATAAATAAGAGTGCACTCTTTGTTTCATCTTCCAAAACAAACATTTGACACCCTAGTACACAGAAAAAAATTCAAACCATTCTTAAAATTGTTTTAGATGAAATTAATATTTTAAGATTTAATTAATATTAAAAAATAAAAAAAAATACTTATTGAGGAGTGAAAATAATGATTTAAACTTTTCTTTGAATATAACAAAGATTTAAAAAAAATTTTATATTTATATTTTAGAGTTTACATATTTATTAACCTTAAGAAATCGGTGGAATACCATCACTCCTTACATAATCATAATATCAAAGCAAAATAAATTTTACAAATAAATACATAGTTCGTAAATTTTTAAAATTATTAAAATTGATAGTTAAGCAATCATTAAAAAAAAAACAATTAAAAACTTTCATTTTAAATAAGGACACAAAGGAAGTAAAATATTCAAATTACCTGTTACAGGAACAACTCTCATTTGGACAATATAATTAGTAACAGGACTGTTGCCATCAAAGGATTTGGACCAACTGACATTCACGCTTTTTGGTGAAGTGTTTAACATGACAGCTTTAACATTATTTGGTGGATGTGGAAGTTCTGAAAAGTTTTAATTAAAAATATTTTAGCATTTGAAGAAAAAAACTATTAAAACAGGAAACATGTTTTAATAAAGCAAAAAATGTGAAGTCACAAATTTCTAAATAGGATATAACATGATAAAAATAATAAAAAATTAATACAAATGAATGCTGCAAACTTGTATATTATTGCACACGAAATTTATCATTCAAAGTTTCCAATTTTGGAAACTTAAATCAATTTGAATAGACGTAAAATCAAAACTTCGAATAATTAAAGAAGTTCTAACACACTTAAGAGGAATTCATAATTTCAAAAATCATTTAATATGCCATATTGTAATAAGTTATAAAACAAACAGTGATTAATTAAAATTATTTAAAACTGAAGTGATAAAAGAAATCACCATAAACACTCAGTTTCACATTATATTTTAGGTAAAAAATAAATTGTAACACACTGTGTGAAACTATTATATCTCTGTCTAAATTGTAATACATAAAATTAAACCCCTCAAGGCAAAAATATCATAGCTTAAACCTAGTAGTTAAAATATTATAGTGAAAACCTAAATAAAAAAAGAGTAAGACAAAATTTTTTACAATTAAACAAAACTGAACTGGTTTCTTTTATAATTATAAAAATAAATACCTATAACATCTAAACGAGCACTGCGTGTTTCGTTGCCTCCTTCTGAAATTACTCTACAAGTATACAGACCAACATCCACATTGCGAGCTTGCCCAATATGTAAACTTCCATCAGGAAGAATCTGTATCCTTCCTCCACCGGTAGGAATAATTTCTTTGTTGTTAAAATACCAATGCACAGAATAGGGTACAGCTTCATCATGAGATACTTTACACTGGAGTTCAGCAGTTGAACTAATGATAACTTTAGTGTCTACTGGAGGCTGAATAATTTGAGTTCGAACTGAAAAGGAAACAAATCGAATGCTATTAATATTTCTAAATATTCAAGAATAAATAATAAAAAGATTTTTCCCTGTGAAAATAATGCTACTTTAAATAACTAAAAACTAATAATCAAAATAATATAACTACCTAAAACAATTAGATATCCGGAGCCTTTGATTGAACCAGCACTGTTTTCACGAACACAAGTATATTTTCCAACATCATCATATTCGGCTGAAGCGATTAATAAGCTCCCACTTTCTAGAATTTGAATTCGTCCAGAACTGAGAAGGTCTGTGTGATCTAAATAAAATAAATATAAGTTCATAAGCACAATAAAAAAAATTTCACAATCGGCATATCCATTAAAACTTATCTTAATACCCACTTTTCAGAAAAATTTTATCAAAATTTTTATTTTTTCAGAAAAATAAATTCATCAAAAGCGTAATTTTTATATGAAAATAAAAAATTATGTTCATTTTAAAGCACAAAGTTGATTTAAAATTTTTTTAAGACAATCAGGAATAAAAATTATTTAATATAACTGTATATTTTTAAATAAAAGCCCATCCCTGCATAAGACGAAGAGTACGCTTTTTATTTAGAAATTCACCCAAAATTCAAAATTGTATATAAGACAACAAAAAAATAAGGCATGCTACACTTGGAAATAAAGCTGTACTCTCTCTCTTGTAGCAATGGTAGATCTAGCAACAGCTGCATAGTGGGTAATAGAAGCATGGACCTTACAATGTCGCATTTAAATCTTATAAAAAATATAATTATTCCTTTCAATTTGTCCTTTTTATGAGCTCCTTTTTCAATTTTCATATTTAAGCATACCATTTTTAACTATTAATGTATTTTTATGTTCTGTATGTACGTTTTACGATATTTACTGATTATCGCTAATGCGCGACAAAAGGGGAAGTATTTGTTTTGTCAATGTCCACCAGGAATTTTTTCGAAGATAGTGGATTTGACTGTAAGTCGGTCCCCAAACTTTCATTTTTGAAAATTTTCTAAAAATTCTCGCCTTACATTCGGAATTAAAAGGTAATATTTTCTTTTTAATTTGCACAATATTAAATGATAAATTACAAAGCATTTCTCAATATAAGCCCTATCTAATTCACTTCACTTAAAAAAATCTATCCACTCAAAATCTAAAAATCATAACATTTTACATATTAAAATATAAAACAATAAAAGTACACAAAATACAAAGAAATAATACCATTGAATAACCAAGTAACATTTGGAGCAGGAGCCCCAGATACTTCACAGCTTATCTGAGCATCTTTACCATTTAACACTGTTACATTTGATGGACCAGCAATGAAGTCTGGTGCAGAAGCTAAAATTTAAATTAATACATGCATAATGTAATAAATGTCATGCATACAAATATAATCAATAAAATTCAAATTGAAATTTTAACCTTTAAAATACAGTGAATAATTAATAACATTACAATAAAATAGGTATAGTAATTAGGAAAATCATTTCATTTCTTATCATTATTCCGATATCTAAAGGTCTATCCCATCTGCACATTAGAGGCATTACTTTATAGCTTAAGTCAAGAATGGAGTTTCTTACACTGGGGAAAAAAACTATAGAAAAAAGACTATACCAAGAAGAAATAAACACTTTCATAGAAGTGAAAACTAAAATGCAACAATTAGAAAAAAGTTGAACAAATTTCTTAGGAGATAAAAACAATAGTAGTGTTTTTTAATATTTTACATTTATGAGTTAAGTAAAACCTAATTTTATAATTATATAACAAACTGTTCAAATCTATATTTCTATACAGTAAATTTTATTAATACAATTAAAATAGTAAATCACACACTAAACATATGTCTGTATTTTAAATGAGAATGAAGTTTGAATTATTCAAAATATTTTGGAAATGATTCTCTGCTTAATGAAAATAGTAACAACATTTTCTAATGATATTTTGCCAGTTCTAATGGTCCGATTCTAAATTACGAATTTTTTTTTTTCAACTTTAAATATTTCCTTCATTTACTAAATTTTCAGTTTGTTTACTATTAAAAATGTAAATATAATTTGAAGTTAAAACTTACTTTTTACATGAAGCCATGTACTAACTGAGAATTCTCCTCCAAGATTAGAAGCTACACATTGGTATATACCAGTATCCAAACCATTCAAAGAAGATATTTTTAAAGTTCCATTCAGAAGCACTTCAAAACGTTCACCAACAGATTTTGTAATTGGCTTTGCATTGCGATACCATGTAATTAAAGGGGTAGGATTACCACTAGCTGAGCAAGGCAAAAGAACAGCTTTGCCAATTTCTGTTACAGTTTCTCTATATGGACCTTGAGTAATAACTGGATCAACTAAAAGAAGTAAATTCAGATTTATAATTCAATGTGATGCATATTTTGTTGAATTTTTAAAATTGTAACAAATTTATAATACTACTATTCGAAAAATACTGGAGAAAAACGATAATCTGACACACAGGCAGACTTGCATTGAAAGATATCGGAGAATCTGTCAGCAAACCTCTAACAAAATTTTTGCTTATAAATATCTTAATTTGAAACGATTCATGAAACACAATTTGTCTGACTAAGAAACATTATGCATGATTTGTAAATTGCATGAATACAAATGACAATGCATGATTCATAAACCTATGAATATTAATTGGAATGAAGGTTTCATAAAAATTCTGAGCAATTGCGGAGTATAAATCATAAAAAGAAATCACTAAGTGAAATTGGTAAATCAAGTCACCTAGAGAGAAAATTCCAAAAATATAAATTATGATGCATAATTAGTACATTATGAAAATCTGAATCTAAATACAGGTTTAACAATCATTTCAAACACTGTCATCATTGTTATGTTACACTGAAGTGTCATACTTTTTTGTAAACCATAACCTACACAATTTAATGAGACTTTTTTACTCTGTATGGTGATAGCAGATATTTATTTTTAAATATCATCATACTCATAATTTACTACTGGTAACTGGTCTTATAGATGTCATGCAACCATAGTTCTACACTATTTAAAAAACATTTAAAAAATTTAAGAGTACATATGTTAAAACTTTAACAAAACTAATTTAAAACAATTTAGAATGCAATAAATAGAGATTTACTATAGATAAATAGAGACTACATTTTAGATTTTCAAATTCATGACTAATTCCAAGAACTTTTCATGACTTAAAGAAGTTACTATTTTCTCCAACAAAAACAGAATATTAAATTTAAAAAGCATTATAATAATGTTAATTGAAATGATAGGTATTACCATAACTGTTATACTCTGCATCTACATATTTATTGATTCTTAAAATTAAAAAACAGAGTAAAGAAAGGGTTGAAGCAATAAAATAGCTGAAAAAATAATAGCTGAGCAAATATTTTTTTTTCTTTTCTGCAGAATTATGTTCCAAAGATATTTTTCAGAAAGGTACGAAATACTCCTGACTTTTCTGTTCTCGTTTCGGAATTTTAAAAAATTTGCCAATAACTGGCTTGCTTCAGCTAGAATTTTTAATTGATAAAATAAAATAAAAAAATTAATAACAAAAATTCTGAAATCACAGAAGTTTAAAAGATACTTCGCTCTAGAAATGATGTTTTTTCTTTCATTTTAGAACACCATAATTTTTAAAGAACATGATAAAAACATTTTATATTTTAATAAAATATAACTCTGACAGGGGATTTTGTTACAAATTCAGATCTTTTAATCAGACCCTTCACAAATTTGTTTATCTTCATAATTGTTTTGTTAATCGAATAAACCTTTCCCAGGGGGGGGGAGAGAAAGATAGGTGTAAACGAACAAAGTTTTGTCTTCGGCAGACGTTACTTCCTTTATTCGTCTGAAATGAATATTCTGTGTTGTGCAGTATAGGGTAAATACCAAATATTTGTATGTTGCATCTCTAATTTAGTAGCAGCAATAGCTGTTTACTTTTGAAAATTTACATTTTTTTTATTATAATTTAACAGTGTTGAGCATAATCTTGTATCTCCTTACAATTTAAAAACTCCTCGAAAAAGTTTTGTGCAATAACAGGACCCTATTTGCACAAATTCACAAAAGAAGGACCCAGGTGGACCCTGGCAGGACCTTGAAAGAATGTGACTTAACGTTTATTTTATATTCACAAATTACGAATATTTTTTTCACAATTTTACAAAAACGGACCTTTCACAAAATGTATGGACAGACCCCTGCTAACCTTAACACTTTCCAGAATCCAATAGGTCTAGAATATTTAAGGAGGAAAAAGAAAAAACACTATTTTAATTGCACTTTAAAGTCTAAAATTTTCTTCTTGGAACAACAGCCCAAAGCAAGTAATGGCTGTCTCAACAAGTTTTTTTCCATCAGGGTGTGCCTGATGTTGGTTTTTTTCAATTAGTTACTTTCAATGTTTCAATATATATTTTAATACCATCTTATAAAAACTACACAGTCATGAAAAAAGACCCAAATGCAATCAATCCCAAGGTAAAAAATGCATAGGAAATAAAAGTAATTTATCGACAGATTTTTGGCATTTTAACAATGGCAAGCAAATTATCATTTTGTTTCACAGATTTTGTCTTTGAAAAATATTATAAGTATAAAATTCTATTGAAATATGCAAAAATAAGCAAAATTACTTACTGATTACAGATACATTTGCAGATGCTTTGACTTTAATCTCACTGCTTTCTTTCATACTGACCTCACATTCATAGATACCACTATGTATAACACCAACATTTAGAAGAGTAACAGTTCTATTCCAATATGATAAAAGATGTGATAAACCAGTCAAAGCTAAATCCAAGCCATCTTTTTTCCAAACAATCTCTACAGAATCTAATGGCCTAAAAATAAGAAGAATTAAAATCCTAAAAAGATTGCGAAATCTAGTGGCCTAAAAATAAATAGTAAAATTTAAAAAAAATAATAATAACAATAAATAAAATAACAAAAAAAATTATTAGTTAAAATTTTTAAAACATAACAATCTTATGGTCTAAAAATAAAAAAAAATCAATCAATAAATAAATCATTAATAATTTAAATCTTGAAAAAATAAATTTAGTTATTTAAACAAAGATAACTATATTTAGTTAGAATGGAATGCAACAAGAGAAATACTTTAAGACCTTAACTGACTTATAAGAAAAATTAGATAAACGCATACAATAAGTTTTTATAAAAATAAATATAAGCACTAACTCAGTGTTATCCCTAAGTGTATTTAGAAGGGTGGCCCTGCCGTTTTACAGACCTAAATGGAACTTCCTTGCCCTTTTTTGTAAAAGTGTTATCCTTTTTAATTTTAAGAAAAGAATCAGAAGCAGAAACCTCCCAGGACCTTCAGTTTACCATAACTAATGCAAATGTGCACCAACTAATGCTAAGCAAGGTGTGCACTAACCAATAACTAATGCTAAAAACAATTTTTAGGCTAAGTTATTAGGGATAAAATATTATTTCTCATATTTGAGAATTTTGAATTTCATTTTAAAGGGCACAAATCTAACTAAATATAAGTGAGATATTTTGCAAGATTAATGCCTTTAAAACTGAAGGTGCCCTTGTTTTTGAAAGCTAACAATGCTTTTTTTTATTATTTGGAGGATATCTGACTAACTGGGATGTAAAGCAAAATTTTGTATAGAATAACATTGACTAAAAAATTGTTTAAAGGCAGTTTTAAGTTATTTGCAACTTCAGAGCCAAAGGATTAAGAGACATTGTTAAACAAGAAATATATTTTTAATGTTCAGAGAGAGATTATATTTTTAATTTAAAAAAAAAGGATAAAAAAAATCAATCAAAAAATATTAACATTGTCCTAAAAAAGGATGGCTATCCTTGGACAGTATCAAAACATAGCATAAAATGGAATAAACCCCAAAATTGTTTGAGCATATATGTTACACACATTTTTTTTTTTCCTTTATAACAGTTTTAAGCAAAAATTAATTTTTATAAACATGCACTATATTTTATAAATTATTTATTTATTTATTTTTATAAACTATATTTTAAAAAAATATAACAATTTTCTAACAGACATTCTGAATCAAAGTTTATGTTATTCTGAACCTTCATTATAAGAAATATATAACCAATATTGGCAAATTAATACACAAAAATAACATTTTAAAAATCATATAAAAGGTATGCAGAATGATACAAAGTACTAAATAAATCCTTTTTGTAAAATAACAAGACTTGAAGCATAAATAGCAACAGGAAATATTTGTTAAAATAATTGAATATGTGCAACAAATTCTACAGGAACAAAATTTTTGTTTTCAGTAAAACTCATACTAAAGTAACACTCATAACTAAATTACCTGGCATTGACAATACATTCTAGAGCCGCAGGATAAACTCCTTGTTTGAAAATAGCATCCTTAGGCGGAATGATAATTTGAGCAGGAACAAAATCTCTTCTTTCTCCTATTACAAAAAAGTACAATTAAAAATGAAAAGAAAAACAGGATAAAAAAAAATAATATTTACAATAATGTTTAGGTACAGAGAAATGATGCAAGATTTTTAGAATTTTAAATTCAATGCAAGATACACTTTGATACATTACTTAATATACTATCATAACTGATTGCATAAAAAGAGAAAAAAAATAACAGATTTTAGATTGATAAGTTCGATAGTTTAAATTGATAAGTTTGCAAAAAAGAAAATCTTAAGTACAACATCAGTTACCATAGAATTGCCCTAAATCTAGTAATAAACATAGAAAATAAAAAAAATTTAAATTTTAAAAAAAAAATTCCATGGTGAGGACAGAAATTTTTCCAAATTAAAGTACTTTCTTAAATGAACAAAAATTATGACAGTTGTTTATCAAACTAGATGGCTAGAAATTGATAGACTAGAAATTAGTAGAATCTATTAGACTTGGAGACTATGCATAATCTGCATTGCTATTACATTACAATTATCAAACATAAAGACAAATCATTAACATACCAACAACTTGAACATGGACAAGTCCTCCAGTTGCTTCTTGACCAGCGTGAGGATTGGTCAAAGAAGCTAGGTAGTAACCTTCATCTTCCTTACTAGCTGCTAATATAACTAAATCATTTTCTAAGGATACAGCATAGTTGATCCCATGCAATCGCCCATAGAGTGTCTTTTGCCAAGAAATAGATACTGGTGGAATGCTTTCTAAAGCAGGAGATTTTAAAATTGCTGCCTCTCCATCTTTAACAGTAATACTGATATTTGTAACAGATGTCAAAGTATCCATAACTACAAACAAAAGAACGTGTTATAAGCATATTAAAAATTAACAATAATTAACTACTCAAGTGTAAAGAATAAAAATTTTATACACTATTTCCTTTTAATGAAGTACAACGTTAGCAAGAGTTTTAGATATTTTAATACAGAAGTTGAATTTTGGGCAAATTTTAGTATTTTTAAAATGTCCTTAAACATTTTTCAAAGAAACTCAAAGGTTAAACTTAACAGAATAATGGTAGGAATACTTACAAGCAACTGTAAGAGTTGTTTTTTCACTAAATATTGTTCCAGCATCATTACGAGCTATACACCAATATTGACCACTATCTTGTTTGGTAATTTGTTGAAGTCGAAGTAAAGGATCTTGTGTAAAGTTTCTAAGAGGTTTTCCATTTTTAAACCATTGAAATTCTGGTGGAGGATAACCAATAGCTTGGCATTGAAGAATCTTTGACTGTTTTTCAGTTACTATACTGCCAGCAAATGATGGTTGAACAATAAACTGAGGGGCAGAGGGTTGGTCTGAAATTAAAAATTAATAAACATCACTAATATAAAATCATATTAATGACATATAATTACTTTCTTTTATTTGCTTTTGAAAGAAAATTAAAATTTGGCTTATGATGAAAAATTTGGCTTATAATTATATGAATATAAGCTTACCTAATGAAAATTAAATTTGGTAGAAATTCATTTTTGGATCATTGAACCTTAACAAAGACCAAATTATCTTAAAAGTAATTGCATATAAAATAATTTGTAAAGTACGTTGTGATATGTAATTGACAACAACAGTTATTATCCTATGAAAAAGCTTAGCCCACTCTACCTTACGGTAAATGGAGTCCTCAATAATACGACCTAAAATTATTAATAATATGAAAACGTTTATTTCATACACATGAAATAAATAGGAAAGAAATTGAAAATATGATTTGTTTATGTATTGATAGTTGAAGTAAAATAAACAAAATTTGATAGAATTTAGAAAAACATAAAATAAGATACTGACAGTGTGAGATTTTGAAACAATAAAACTAAATTATTGAAAATGACTTCATGTTGCTAGATGAATGTACAAATTAATCAAAATTTGTAAGCAAAATAAGATACAATATAAAATAAAAAGTTTTATTTATTACATTTTCTTTTTTTTTTGTAAGCTGAATTATTGATCAAAAATACCAAACATTGCAGGTTTTTAAAGTTATTAAATCTTCATTACATATTTCTAAGAACTATAATTTATCAATGCTTATAAATAAATTTACAAAACACAATTTTTTAACTCAAAGGCAAAATTAATTCAACATCTCCATAAAATTGCAGCACCAATCAGTTGAACTTTAACTGAATCTCATACAAAAATTACCAGAGAATTATTCCATAAGCACCCGAGAACTGCCTCGATTACCCTTGGTTATCTTGGCGATTATTTTATCGTTACTTCAATTTTTAACAAAAAACCTGAGTTTTTCCTAGGTCTAAAAAAAAAGGCAGGATAATTCCTAAAAGAAAAGAGCACTTTGAATTGAGAAAGGGCACTTACTAACCATCGTCAAAATTTATCAAATTAGGTGATATTATGCAATAACTGAATTTGATACACAACAATTTCTCAATTATCTGCTTAAAACTATTTTTTGTATATTTTCCAAAAAGTATTCTCACACATTATCATAGTAGTTTATAAAAAATAATTAAAGGCACCCACGCTTAAAGACATTCTATGAGCATAAATTTTTTTCAAAAAAAAAAGTTAACTAAAAAAATGATCAACTTATAAACAACTTGAAAACTTTTTTCCATGATTTAAACTGACAATTATTAAGAAGAAAAAAAACATTTAAAAGTGCATTTTTAAAGAAGAAAAAAAAAAGGCATTTGAAAAGTTAAAATTTTAGAAATAATTTTAAAATTACATAAAAAACTCATTAATATGAAAAAAAAGAGAAACACCAAAAAAAGAAAAATTTGAAAAAAATTATACAGTTGAGAATAATCATAACAAAGTAAATATTTGTAATAGAATTACACCTATGTACACAGAAAATTTTACCAGTGTATAATTATCATTTAAACAGTGAGATATTTATTTTTGTTATTAATGGAATATGAGAAAAAAGGCAGTGTTTTTAAGAAACGGTGGCCTATTTTAACAAAAAGGGCACAATTATATATAGGAATCAAAGGGTAGATAGGACTGGCCACCCTTCTAAAAACGCTTAAGGAGAACAATGATAAAACCACACTAAAATTAGGGGTAGAAATTTGATCCCATTCTTAAATATGATCCTGACACACTATGACTAATATCTTTAAAATAAATTTTTTGAAGAATGATAGTGATCAATCTAATAATTGTTTGCAAACATGTTAAAAATATCCATACAAAGAAAAATGAATTAATCGATAAATCACTTACTTGCCAAAGCATAATGAGGAAACACTAATAACAGCAGAACACACAACAGTATATGAAACAGCACACTGTGATACAATGATGATGATATGGACGGAGATTTAAGACACTTTGAATTAGAGTTCAGGAAACATAACTCTTGTTTATCACATGGTTGGAAAGGAACTTTTAACAAAGTCATTTTAAACGAAACTTGTTTATAAAAGTTTCTAATAATGCACAAGGGTGGCGAAGAAATTTGCAACCATCTATCGTTGCAATTTTTGGACATGTTTGTGCAGTTGGTTAATTCCAATTTTTGAATAACTTAAATGGATAGAAGAGAACTTTGCAAGAATGATTCCTTCATCTTCTTTTTATGTTGGAATTTTCAAAACTAAAAATAGAAATAAAATTTGTCAATTTTTTTCAAAATTATTTTTACAAGGAGAAAAATTAAAAAAAATTTTAATTTGATTTTATGACACAAACATGTGAAAAAACAGTTTTTACTTAGATTTCTTAATTTGTAAGTAGACACTTTTACAGTGGCTGACATTTAAATGAGTTGCCTCTTGGACTACTTATACAAGCTATTTTTTTTTAATAGACATCTCTTAGCTGATGTCCCTTTATAAATCTACCTATTAGCTTTGTAACAATTATCAATAGCTATCAATTGATCAATTAAAGGCTACCTTGCTACTTTTTTTTTCAATTTAACTTCTTATTTGACAGAAATTACATCTTTTTTTTAAGTTTTAATCTGTTTTATAGTTTTTAATGGATATTAAAATCAAGTTTAGAAAAAATTATACTAACAATTACACAATTATTGTGTATAAACTCCTGTAAAAATCACCATTAACTAATGTTAACATTAGTATGCAACTAATGTTAATAGACATTATAATAGTAGGCATTATAATATTATGACAATTGATAAATTGAAAAATTTGACATTATTTTAACAACCTTTAACTGATAACTGAATAAAAACTAGTGTTCTAACTCGGAGCTATTCTAAATAAACTTTTTCTCTATACTTATCTCAATTGATGATAATGAAATCCTTGATAAAGATACTGAAATTTATAAACATTTAACCAAATTACTAAAATAAAAAATGAATAAATAAATCTAAAAGTATGTGAAGGTATTCAAAATATGAAGGGAAAAAAAGCTTTGTTGATAATAAAAGTTGTAGCATTATCATTTGTAATAATAAATATCGATGAGGAACCGAGCAATGCTCCGATGTTTCTGATTTTTATCTTTCTTCTACAACAAGAAGTTGAAAAATTTTAATAAAAATTTTTGAAGTACTTTTTTTTTTTTGCAGTGTAACTTTTCAGGAATAGCTCAAATCAGATATATGAATTACGGATCTAGATGCATATTGACAAACTCTGCACTGTTTTTAAGCTTAATTTTAAAAAAATGAACAAAAGAAAGCATCACAGAATAAAATCTATCTTTAGACATCCTTTGTAACAGTTACTCAAATTATTTCGAAGAAAATCAGATTGTGGACACATTTCTGTATAATCTTTTGACGTAGATGAGACAAGAGAATCACTTTTTTATATTTTTCTCTGACACTCTAATTACAAGAAAAATATATTTGGGTATTTTTAATTATAAAAAATAGTCTAATAGTTATTAAAAAATCTGTTTCATTAGTTCAAATTAGATTTGTACGATATAAAATCCAAAAAAGTAGTTAAAAAAAAAATTTACATTTATATTCTAAAATTTATCAATAATTTAATTTGAAAATTAAAAGAATTTCAATGAGGAACAACTATTTTTCTCAGATTGAAATAGCAGCAAATTTGAAAAATTACTTTTATGAAGTGAGTATGTTCGGAAGATTTTATCATTAATAATGAAAAAGACATTGGTGACACCAATTTAGTGTTTCATACTTTATTTCATAGCCATAATTCATTAAAATGTTAAATATTTTTCACTTATTTTGACCTAAATTAAAACAAAATAATAAAAAAAAGTATGAAAAATATATTTAATAATAATTCTGTATCAAAAGGCTTAGTGTGCCTGTCTGTGTCAACTATCATTGTTAAGACACCAAAGAGCTTTTCACTTGCAAAAATTTTAAAAATAATTAGTAGTTGTTTTTGCAGGGATGGCAGTTATATTTTTTGACGTAGTGCCTTTCTGTTTTCAGTTTCTTCTGACATTTGCCTGTTTGCCTTGGTAGACTTTCTGGCACAAGACGGACCCTATACAGAAAATTTCCAATTTTAACCATATACTTCACATTTATTTGATCTAGTGTCAGTAAAACAAATTATGTTTTCTGATTAATAGTACAAATTAATTGCTGTAGTCTATTAAAAATTTTGGGAAGATACCCATAACATGGTCTGCAGCAGAATAATTGCCAAGTCTTGGCGACTGCCTGCAGCAGCCCATGAGAAACTAAAAAAAAAACATCTCAAAAGAGGACTAACTCGAAGCTACCAGACAAACATTTGTATGTTTTTTATAAAAAATTTGCAAATTTAAAATCAATTTGGCACCTTGGCAATTGTAATTAGCATGACAGATCACGGTACGGAAATACCCTTAAATTTTAATTTTATATTTCCTTCTATTTATAGTTATTTATAGGTTTACTTCCATAAACTTATAGATAATAAGTTAGGTGTTGTAAATTATTATGTAATTCTGTAACTACATCTACTAATCACATACTAACTATAACTTGCAACTAGTAACAAAACAAATCAATCAAAATATCAATTTTCATAGAAATAAGCAAAAATATGTAATGTATCAAGCGAGTAAAGAAAATAATTTAGACCATTGTAAATCATTTACAAACCAAGCTTCCAAATAAATTTTTACTTTTACGACTCAAGTCAGGTATCAGCATGGTATTTTCAAACTTTTTTGGCATGCTACCCCAAAATAAATGAGCATTCTTATCTACCAATTATATTATTGATTTATATAAAGCAAAAAATTTGAGGTAATTCATTAGGTAGATTTCTATGTTGTTTTTTTTTCTAATTATCAACTACACAATCTTTATAATGTTATAAGAAATTTAATCGAAGCAAAGTTAACATCACTTATAGTTAAAAACGTAAAATCCTGCCGTTAGAACAGAATAAAAATTACAAACTACCATTTCAATGAATAGTACAAAATATAAACACTTTTATTCTGTGTAACCAAGGACGCCATATTCAACTTTACCTGTTCCGTTCAACTTTCCTCCAGGGACAGGGAGTGCACGGCAATGTTCCTTTCTCACCTGTTGTTCATTTCCAGAAGTTATGAAGTCACTTCTTAAGGAATGCGGCGATTAAAAACATAATTCATTGAATAAAATAGAACACAAATAACTAAATCATTGTTAAAAGTATCCAAAGTAAAACACATGAACACAAATATAAAATTTTAAATACAACAAACTTAGGTAAACACAACAGCCAGCTCACAGGCTTTGTTTGGGCGACGCGGCGAGTAGGGAGAAGAAGTGAGGGGAAAAAACAATCTGCGGTTATATCGATATAAAACATTTTCATCGTTAGCTACTCTATCGAATATTTCGATTATTCCTCAAACAGAATGGATTCGATTGAGAGACTGAAATGCTGAAGTTTCTTTTGAAAGTGAAAAAAATTGGAAAAACTGGTTCTGTTTTATCATTATGCAAGATAATTTTCAACAAGTTGATTGCCTGGCTTTATAAGATCATTTTCATTTCTTTATCTAGTTGTTAAGCTCTAGAATTCTGTAGACGAAAAAATTATTTCTTTTATATTGTTAATAATAATTTGAAAAACTTACAATTTTCAAAGAATTAAGGATCAAAATATTAACACTATTTCAATTATCGGAATTTTTACGTCCAAGCAGAGGTAGAGAGATTAAACAATTAATTATACTTGATTTTCAGAAGCTGGAAAAAGTATATAAAAACCTCTCAAAAGCTGGAAAAGTAATTTATAACATTTTATTCAGACAAAAAAGAAGCTCAACCACTTTTGATTAAATTAAGTGAAGGATCCTATTTTACAGATTTTATTATCGATTAATGCTCTTTTTTAATGAGATATTCTTCAATCATATATCATCATATGATAAAATTTGTTTTATTTTTTTTCTTTATCAAAAGCTTTTTAGTAGCTTTATTCATTACAGAATTTTCCATGATATATAATAAATGTTTGTAAAGTTTGATACAAATTCAGTTCAGTAACTTTCATTATAAGATACCAAATACCTATAATAAATGTTTTAAAACTTACATTTTTAAGGAATGAAGAATCAGAAATTAACACTTTGTTTCACTTATAGAAATAAATTTATAAAACCAAAAAGTAATAGAGAAATTTGAAAAAAATTTATATAATAATATCTACTCTATTCAAAGCTTTGAAAAAGTATATAAAATTTTTATTACCTTGCAAACGTATAAAGTTAATAACCCAAATGATAATAATAAGGATCCTTTCGGATCATTATCATTGATTTATACATATATTTTTTTAGGTAAGTTATTTTTTATCTCATATCATCATATTACGAAATTCAGAACTTTTGCTTATTCATCCGTTATTGAAGAAAAAATATTGCATTTATTCTTAACCCCAGAATCTAACTTTCCATGATCATGGAAAATGTTTGCGACATTTGATAAAATTTGGTTCAGTAACTTCACTTAATTAAAGAAACTAAATATCTTAAAATGTTTATTATCACCCTCTTCATTATAAATATAAAATAATACAAGAGTTACTTATATTTGCAAGTTGTTAAAATATAGCGTGTATTATTGAACTTAAGATGCATGAAAAATTTAACAAAAATCTTTCTTAATTAAAGAACTTTTATTAATATATAT